TGAAAAACTGGTAATATCTAAAAAATGTATTATATAAAAAGTAATTATTTAATTATATATATCTAGTTAATTTACCAATAAGGATAATAAATAATACTAAGTCAATGCTATATTTAAATATAACATTTATATCACAAAGGCTGTACTAGAATTTTTTTTACTGAGCATTTTTTTTTAATAATATTCAAATCACTTTGGTTTAAATTTATAAATTATCATTAAATTATTTATTAGCATTTAGAATAATTAAAACAGCTATAATATAGGAATATTTAAAAGCAATTTATTATCTAACTAGATAGAAATAATGTTGAATACTTTGATAAATAATAATCAATAAAAATTTAAAACAAGAAATTCAATTTTATTTTGTTTTTAATAATTGTAACATCCAAACAAATAATAAAATTAACATAGCAAGACATGTAACAGTAAATATGTTATTTTGTTTATAGCTTAACAAACATAATTTATACTGTTAAAATATATATAAGATATGCTATAATCCTTCGTGATTAGTACTTCACAAAATCAAATTAAATTTTGAATTTGAATCAAATATTTGATTTAAATTCAAAATTTAATTTGATTTTGTAAAGTACTATTTGTAACTACATGAAATATTTTGTCATGTTTAAAAAAAATAATATCATAATAATAATTATGGCAATAATTTAAAACCATAATTAATATAAGAAAATGACTTACAAGACTCTGCACTGATACAATATATTTCTGCACTGCATTGAATTTGCTAGTAATCTTGATACATTTTGCATTTTTTAAAAACCATAATATCATATAAATTTAATGAAATTTGTGACTGTTTGAACTTTAAAACAATAAGTAAAATAGAGAGTATAAATAGCTAATAAACTTTAATATCCAATCTATCTAATAAGAAATAGGAAATAGCACTATTAAATTTATTATATAAAATTATAAAAATCTTGATATATTTGCATACTAAAAACTTAATAAAACAATTAATACTTAATATAATACTGCTAATGCTAAAAAAACACTGTAGTCATTATAACAAAACCAAATTAGCTGTTGAATTTGTAAGGTAAAGAGTGAACAAATTGATAAAATGCAGCTTATGCAATATTTGTACTAAAAAAAATAGACAAAGTAAGAAGGATGTCAGATCCTCTAATGCTAAGTCCTCTAATGCTACATCTTCTAATGCTATATCCTCTAATGCTATATTATCTAATAATGTATTTTCTAATGCAACATTTATAACATCTTTGATTTTTGATAATAATAATAATGATAAAATTCTAGTTGTAATAATGATAAAAATAGTGAGAAGAACTTCTTTATGATTTATATAATCTTGAATATGTTATATATACTAACTTTAAAAACAGCAAAGAAAAAAATATTATTGAATTTTCTATTATAATAAAAATTAAAAAAGAATTAGTTAGTAAAAAATTATTTAAATTTGATCATAAAAAGGAAATTAAAAAATTTTATTATATTGTTAATAGTTTAATAATGCCTCTTTAAACAAAATCAGGCTACTATTAGGAACTTTGAAAACTTTATATAAATAAAAAAAATAGTCAATATATAGAATATGCAACAGCTAACTTAAGATGTACTCAAAGACTTGATTAGCAGTACAAAAGCTCAGACAATTGGTTTACAAAGTATATAAGCAAAGCATGCTCTGCAATTAAATGTTATTTATGTAATAGAAATATAATTATTAAAATAAACTTATATGAGAAGAGGGCCATGCTATTCATAAAGCATTTAATAGCTCATCTACATCCTATATATAGAAATACAAACCTGCTAGCAAATGCTATAACATAGATAAAACAGCATATTAATTATAATTCATAAAAAGCTAAATTTCATAAACAGCTTTGTGATAAAAATTTCATTAATCTATCACTATATACTTACTAGCAAATATATTATTGGGTACATAACCTTTTATTAGAACTTTATATAACTAATGCAACCAATCAAGTAAAATTAGCAAAAAATTTTATAGAGCAGGAAAAATTGGCCAATGCAGAATACAAAATTATTCAATATCGTAAAAATAATTTTGTGCATTCTCTTGAATTCATAATTCTATTTCTTCATATTATAAAAAATAAAAATATTAGCAAAATTATTATAGATTCAACATTTAAAACAAATCAAGAATGTTTTGAACTTTTTGCAATAAATATTAATTGTGATGGATTTGGCATTCTTCTTGCATATTTATTTTTAGACATATATGCAGTGTCAGAAGAATGTCTTTTAAATTCAAGAAATATTATATATACCTGTATTGGTATACTTAAAAAATTCTTTACTAAACTGTAAAATAAAGGAATTTTGCTAGTATTTATACTTATAGACAAAGATTCTAATAAAATTGCTGTTGTTCAGAAGGCATGATTTGAAATATCAGTAATTCAGCTTTGGCTCTGGCATGTAGAACATGTAATCAAATATAAATTAAGAGAAAAAAAATTTAAAAGAAGTTAATAATCTGCACAAAAAGCAAATAATACATATTATCTTTTTTTTTTATTAATCTAATCTGGTTTCCTGATATGCAACAAAATGAATCATATCTCAAAGAACTTATAAAGAAGTTGTTAAGAATAATTAAAAAATATACAATATTATATCTACTTATTTTAGTAAATATAAATACTTTTCTAACAACTAAACAGATTTACTATTAAAGCATTTTAAAAGCTTACCAATTTTATTCACAAAAAATTTTTTGCAAATTATAAAGATACTTGTAGATGAATTGATATAATAAAAAGAATTGGATACTTTTTGCTTGAGCATTCTATCTAAAAACTATACTAATAGCTAAATCATTATAATAACAGAATCATATTAGTATATTCTTAAGCATAAATATAAATATAATTATAATTAGTCATGTTTTGATCATCAGACATAAATTCTTACAAAAGAACTAGTACCAGATATGGAAAATAACTAGAGAAGGTTCAATTATAATTATGATTTTCCTTTATGATAAGACATATTTAAACATGATTGGAAAAATATTATAAAAAAGATATTAATACAGAGAATATATACTATACTGATATAAATATATAAGTCTGTTCTCATCTTGCTTTTATACTTAACCCTTATCTAATATGTAAACATGTTGTATACAAATACTCTACAAAAAACTTTAGGTTTTTTCATCAATTTCTTGCAATGACAAAATGCTATGATTATCTATTAATTTCTTTGATAAACCAATTTCTTCAAGAATAAACTTGAAAAATAACTTCTGGAATAATGCTTTGTAAGACAATAACATTAATGTAAAAATTGTAGAAATAATTTTCAGCAGTAATTTATTTCTAATCAACATGCAATTATTGAAAGCCAAAAAATAAAACTAATATCTGATATAAAGATATATAAGATATTAATAAAAATTATGAAAAATAATATTAATAATGATAAGCTTTTTGAAGCATACAAAACTCTCAAATAGCCTCTTGTTACTGAGACTATTGCATGCACTGAAGCTCTTAACTTAAAAAAACAACAACAAACCTAAAAACCACAAAAATATAAAAAATTGACATTCTGATTACAATAATATCATTATATAAATACTGTAAAGGGTCATTTAAAAGGTCTTTCTATATATTAGATCCTTATAAATTAGACCTGAGCATAAAGACTAATTTTTTTTAAACATATAAACTACTTGTCATAAATGCAAAATATGCATGCTCTTCAAAATTTTTTTCTTAATGATATAAGTTCACAGTCATATACTAGATCTGGATCTATTATAAGTTTTAAAATTGGTAGAATGTAAGAGACCCAGGTTTTGTATATGATCCTTTACGATAATACAATGTTCCTGCAACTAATGTCATTTTAAATTTATAAAATCTTTAAATTCTTTATTAGTGACTAATAATATAATAAATATACAATTTTTTTAACATGTACATAGCATAATATTACAAAAAAAAAAAATATAATAAAAAAATAATTCTTTATTAGTGACTGATAATATAATAAATATACAATTTTTTTAATATGTACATGGCATAATATCACAAAAATAAAAAAAATAAAAATGTAATAAAAAATCCCTATTACTGCACTTTTCATTTGAATAAAGTTTCGATATAGCTTCCAACCTAATAATGTGTCAGCATGTTAATGCATTGGTAATGTATAATATAAAGTTATTATATATGTGTAAAAAAATGAACGTTGATCTGTTATTTAAAAATACGTAGCAAAGCTTCCATTAAATCTCAACCAAAAATGCATGTTCAGGAGATTAAAACGGTATAGTTCTTCTAAAATGATCATCATATTAGCATTAATATTTTCCAATAACCTAGATTTGAAGAAAATTGTAGAAAAAAAAAACGTACATTGAGAAAGTATGTGCACTTATAGAGGGAGGTTTTACTTAGTGATTGAGATCGTGCTCGAGATCGTGACCGAGATCGTGACCTTGATAATCGGCCGATGAATATTGTCAGATCGGAGATGATCGACGATCACGTGATCGAGACATTTTTGCGCCATGACTAGTCCAGTACAAGTACTCATCTTAATATTTTTTTTTAAAAAAAAATTAAACTTACATTATTCAGTAATCTTTGGCAAGATTAATCAACGCCGACCATTCCGACCCATAATTCGGGCCGATCTACTGAATTTTGGTTGCAGTGTAATCATTTGTTTTGTTTTTTCGGATTAGATAAAACTAACCAATAAGGTTGCACGTTATTATAGTAATGGTTAGTAAAAAGTACAGAAGTATAGAAACTTTAGGGTAAGTTTAGATGTATCAAAAAAGTAAGTGCAGAAGTATCAAATGAATGTTTTGCTTTAGGGTAAGTATATTGGCACGTGACAGGTCTTAGATTTATAATAGATAGGTACAAATTACGTGACGAAAATGATTTTTGACACGGACACGTACCGATTCATTTAAATTTACGCCAATAGCAAAATAATTTTCGACACCCATGCATACTTGGTCATTAGATGATTTTGAACTAGGCGATCCTCTCGGACAAGGTAGATTCGGACGAGTTTATCAAGCAAAAGAAAAAACAAGTGGTAAGATCGTTGCGCTCAAGGTAATATTTAAAAGTGACTTGAGAGAATGTAAACTCGAAGGACAGTTGAAACGTGAAGTTGAAATTCAGTCTCATTTAAGGTATAATATGAAAGAATATATTTATTACTTTTTTATTCAATTAATTAATAAATTCTTTATCAATTCTCTAACAGACATCACAATATCCTACGTTTGTATGGCTATTTTCACGACAAGGACCGAGTATATTTGATATTAGAATATGCTGCAAGAGGAGAATTGTACAAATACCTTTTAAAATACAAACGGTTCCCAGAACGACTGGCAGCAAAGGTTCACTTCATAAACTTGTATTCATAAATTTTTCTTTATGATTCCTAACAAAATTTTTATAATATGCAAAATTAGTATATTGCTCAAATCGCGGATGCATTAGCCTACCTTCAAGAGAAGAATGTCATTCATCGAGATATGAAACCCGAGAATCTGTTGTTATCTGAAAATGGAGATGTTAAAATTTCTGATTTTGGATTGGCAATTCATGCACCAAATCAACAAAGGTTATTATTTTTATTATCAAAACAAATTAGGTTAGAATGATTTTTTTTTTTTGATTACTGATTAGAAATGTTTGTAAAGATCCAGACGGATGACATTTTGCGGAACATTGGATTATTTGGCTCCAGAAATGGTCATGAGTACGGGTCATGACGGTAAAATTGATTCATGGGCCCTTGGTGTCTTATGTTATGAATTTTTGGTCGGCGAACCACCGTTTGCGGATTTGGATAGTGAATACAACACACGCGTCCGAATCGCAGGTGTAGATCTAAAATTACCTCACAATATTTCCTTAGAGGCTAAAGATTTAATTACATCGGTAAAATATCCTTGAAAAATCTTATTATTTACAAGGCTGTTGATTAATATCATTTCATATGCAGTTATTGCAGTACAAACCTGAACAACGCCTGGCCGTTAATAATGTCGCGACGCATCCATGGATTCTCAAGTATAATGGTAAGGTCCCAAATTAAAACCCAAGAGCCAGGTTTTTATGTAAGTTCCATGCCTAAGTTAAATCTGGTATGGTTTAGAACCAAATTTTAAACCTGGTACTCAATATTTTATAAGATATAAAAATAAAAATATATTACCAAAATTTTAAGATATATCTTTTAAATAACTTAAAATGCTAAGGTTGATTTATTTAATAAAAATTTCGACGTTATCTGTTGTGATTAACAAAATACATAGTGTATGTGTACGTATAACGATAATAAATCCCGAAAATTTTCGTGATAATTTCGTTACGAGAGGATGAAATCCGTGCTGAATTCTAGTTAGATCCGATATGCAGATTTAACTCTAACCTGGTCAAAGCGGGTTTCACCCTAATCTATTTTGTTAGTATCGGTATGTTTTTCTCTGGCATTAGTGTTCGGATTTGTGTTTAACTAGTGTTTCGCACGGACGGTTCCGAGCGGGTTCCGGTAGGACCTGCACAAGAACCAAAATGCGCAAATCGAGCCAACGATTAGATCCGGACCCGATTTGCAATCCGGATAACTATTCGAAATCCGTATGTTCCAACGTTTCGCCTTCGAAACAACCTTATATTTCAAAGAAATATTGAAAATATAAATATATTTAAGTGATTATAAAAACTCTAGTATATTTCAAATATGTGTAGCATTTGTTAAGACTTTTAAATAATTGGTATATTGTATATATTACAGTTAGAATCGCTACTGCCTTATACAAGAGGGTTTTCATGAATGAATGGACTGGTGATAGAGATATAGAAGTCAATAATTTCACAGAGACGTTGAATAGAATAAAGCATGAAAGCGTTATTGAGATTACTCGCTTAGAAAAATTTCAAAGTTGGGGTGATGGTATAGAATTAGAACACAGAGTAATTCTAATATGACATTTTTTGATGATATTATATGATGTTTGATACAATTTGTATGTGATTGCATAATCTTTTGTGTAGAGTAACCAGATTTCGTTAATCAATGCACAAATACAGTATAACGATAAATGTCAGTTTTTTGTTTCCTCTCTTGCTTATAAAATTTGATTAATAATAAATTTGCTATTCTTTTTTCTCAGGTTGAATCAGCATTCGAAGATATAAGAATTTACTGAAAATGCAAAACTCGGTAAATGAAATTTGTGTTTTTTATGAATGTTCTAGTTCATATCAAAATATGATAAGATATATTAATTTTGGTACGTATCACTAATGTAATATCATATGATGTAGATGATGCATCTTGAATTAGTCGAGCAGAAGAGAACGTTAGGATGGTCACTCGTAATATACAATCGGTAAGTATATATTCTTTGTATAAAACACTGTTTTCAACTATATCGATATTGAATTTAGGAAATAAAAAAAATGTTCCGAATTGGAATACGAGATAAATTAGGGTATGATCATCCAGTATATTACAGAATTTTAAAATAATATATCCAAACCTCAATAGATTTTTATATTATTATCTAATACTTTCTTCATAAGGAAAGGTTAAAAAATTAGTGATAGAAATAAATCAAAAGATATGTGATTTTTGTGAAAAATTCACACTTGGGAAAGAGAACCGTATTCTGATAGAAGAGGTAGCATTAACTTTTCATATAGTAGTTTCTGGAGAATGGATAAGTTCATTAGAAAAGTTAAAAGTAATTACAGTACAAATTTTCAAAGTCTTGTAAGTACTCACTATTACATTATTATTTCATTCCTGCAAAGATTAATCAATTAAAAAATATTTTTTTGAGGCATTATTTATGAGTATCAACCAAGTATAGGGCATTTGTTCATAATACAATGTCAATAAATAAGACATTATATATGTGTAATATAACCATGAATGGGATAATAAATATGCATAATTAATACTATTCTGCTGTTGTCTATACATTACATAATATTTTAGCACATCTTGATGAATCTAACGGTAAACAATCTTCTAATGAGATCATATCAACTATTGACAAGTCAAGGAGGAAAAAAAAAATAGTTTTATTTGATTGTATCTTTAGAGAATTCTGTTAATTTTTTATGTTTCTCTAGTATACATATATTATTAATATATTGAAAAAATAACAATCATTGTAACATGTATCTTATTTTTATCAATAAAGCTGTTCTGATAGTTAATTTCTTCATATACATAATTGATTTACTTCTGCATATATATTTCAGAATTTTATCTTTCTTTGAAAATGTATTTTATGAATTATGTTATACAGATATTATAGCTGTTATCATTATTCTTGAGACACATTATGAAAACTTAACCAAATAGTTATTCTGCCAATTTGATAAATTATTAATTTTAGCATAATTAATGTAATATTTATTATTTATTAAAATCTATATGAAGGTATTAATTGATTTATAAATTAAAACTTATATGAAACTACAAGGCTTCAAATGATCTTTAGTTTTATATTTTATTTATAATCATAACTCATACAAATATCAGTTAGGTTTTTCTTTTTTTAAAATCTTAAGCTATTTTATATCATTCAGATTTAATAAATGTGATTTCTTACAAGTAACAGAAGTCTTTTAATATTAGCACTAGTATACTTCTAAAAAGTTATGAAACTGAGTTTAAATTTTTCTGAATAATAAAATCCTATATTTCAAATTAGATGTCTATAATTAGCAATAGGACTACAGAGTTAGAGATAGGTGATATTTAATTATTATATTTAATAATTTTTGTTTGTCTCTCATTCTTATGTACCTATACTATGAAGAACAATATACAGATATGTCTCTTCTATTCTTGAGCACTTATGAAGCCTTTCTAAGTATCGATCAACTATTACAAATATTCTTTTATTAATATTATAAGCAGTTATCCTGACTAGCCAAACATAATTTATAATTGTCATATGAACAGGTTGTAATTTCAATAATCTTGTTAAATACTCTTCTGTCTTACCAATTCTATTTAGCTATCATCTTAGTAGGCCAGACAGCTATAACATTATAGTACTAACAGATAAGACAAGAGGAGTTGAATTAAGCAGAATGAAAATTAGGTTTACAGAAAAGACAAAGTTACTAATTTTAATTCTCACAAGCTTAACTAATATATTACTTTTCAATTACCTCATAATATCCAAATTACCTTATACTAACTCAATTATCTCATAATTATTCAATTACCTCATTCTTATTACAACTAACCTTATAGATCAAACTTTAATTAATGATCTAATTACTAAATACTCAAATTACTATATACTTTTATTTAATTAATTGACACTTGATAATCGCTAATTAATTAAGCATATGATCATAATTAGGCCTAATACATGTTCAATCGTTATATGTGATTTAAGACAAAAGCTGCCTCAATATTCATATATTAAGCAGCTATTTGTTTGTCTCTTATTTCTATATATCTATACTATAAAGAACAATATACAGGTTCTTCCAGAATATTATAAAAGAAAAATTCTCAATACTCAATAAATTGCATTGCAAATACACTTTTTATCTCTTATAGCAAATAATCCCAAAACATTATACCTATTGTAATACTAAAAACCCATTAATGCAGTTACTTCCAATTTTGTTATTTCTACAGATTTTATATATACTTATACTGTATTCGAAATCCAACTGCCAATTATTTGAATTTGTTCTAATGATGTTCATCTTTTCATAACTGCTATGGCATCACCAATCCTTAAACTATGTATTGTAAATTTCTTTTTTACATTAGCATGCTCTGCAAAACATTTAATCACTACAGAAATTACTAAAACTGTTATTTTATTTCTCTTATTTGAAAGAAAAAATAGCATTTCATCTTTTGTTATTAGCCTAATTTTCAAATATTCTACTATTCTCTTAGCTGAGCAATACTTACTATTAGATATCTCAATTGGCACAAATTTTTTTTTTGTTAGTTAGTTGGTTTTTAACTTATTAATCTTAACCTACAACAAACTATTCTTAAACTCTATCTTTTTTTTTAATTTACAAAGTTCACTTGGCCATTTTATTATTCTCAAACCCAAAGCTACTAAAACCAAATCTTGTATTTACATCTCAAAACTAATACTATTAGAAGAAAAATTCAAATACATTTTAACAATATCTACTAACAAAAGATCTCTTAGCTATTTTATTTCAACCTCTTTCAACATAGTTCTCTTAATTCTATTTATAAATATTTGTACTTTACTAGTCTTTATAAGATCATGCAACTCCTCTACTTATGAATCCTAACAATCATTATCAAGCATACTTGCATATCTGTACTATGTTCTGACATCTCCAACCAGTTCAAGAATGATACTAACATCATATCTATTACAAGATATGTCTTATGTTTTACCTGTTCTATGAATCTACAAAACAATTTTCATGTTCTATTCAAGCTTCTTCTATATATTTTACTAATTGAATTCTTCACTAAACCCTCTATATGTGTTAACAATTGCTTGACCAATCCATCTGAATTACTCTCAGTCTCTAATGCTTATTGTTGCATGACTTTATATGTTCTGATAAGCCAAATTGAATAATTTCTAATGATGATGATAAGTTTATTTTCTCTCTTTTTGTTTGTATAACTATTGGCCACCATGACACAGCAACCCAAACTGAAATAATAATTACTATTACTGCTCTACACTCTCTTACATAAATCAGATAATGATGTATTAATCCAAATGATAGGCATATATAATTTATATAACTCTTTTAATCCTGCATAAAGCAATCTATTGCTTATATTCTAAGGCAAAGATGCAAGTTATTAAATCTCTTTATCTTTGAATTTATGTAACTCACAAACCTGTTAATATCGAAAACTCTTTATCATTTCTGCAACTAATCTACTAACTTCTTCTTTACCTCCTAATTCCCAAAATCTACTATCCATGAAAGACTGTCTGCCATGTTCTTCTTGCTTGCAACCTATCTCACATGTAGATTTTTATATTCAACTCTATACACAACTTTCAAATTTCTCTTATAATCTCCTTTTATTATCATGAAAGTCCTCTATTTACTATTGTTCTTAATACTACTTGTTATCTATCACCAATATAACCCATGACTCTTTTAACTGGATACTAAATGCTTCCAATATTTGAAGAACTGTAATTAACTTGAGCTATACAATTACATTCAATATTAATCTTCTGACCAATTCTCTGCTATAACTGCTTCCTGATAAACTCCACACCAATCTACTATTGATGCATTCATAAATACAATCTTTATCCTTGAGAACTACCATCTTGAATACCTATTTCAAACCTTTAGAGTCTTTACTAGCCACTAAATATCCTCAATCACCTGTGAAGACAATGTTATCTCTGTGTCCCAATTGTCTCAACAACAACTTCTTGCATCTATCAACTAATAAAATTTGAGATATTTGATCTAAATAAGAAAAAAAGCTCTTACCAAACTCTGAATTCTTTTTGTCTCTAATATTAGTTTTTGTACTGATATCATTGAACTCCTCAATAATGTTTCCAACTACAAAACTATAGAGGTGATTTTTGTCTCTAATACAATTACTAACCCTTCTATTGTATCTATTATCAGATCACAATACTTTGACTTCTGTATTGGATCTTAATCTCCCTTTTCTTTTGCTTGACTTCAACCACAACTCTTCAAATCCCTCTCTATGATCAACTGCCATTGCTTTAGAAGAACTTTTCTTAACAAATAAACTACCCATATATCATCTAGATAGTTGTCACAGAAAATTCTTCTTGCTCTCCAACTTCCAATCATGCTTTCATAATCTTTGAAAAAATTCATAACAAATGACTCAATCTAAAAGATAAGACCTTGAAATAAAATTACATTTTATTCACACAAAACCTCAAAAAACATTATATCAGATCATCTATCAAAATATAATGATAACTATTCTTCAGATCGAATGTTATTATCTACTAATTTTTTTTCACTGTTCTCAACAATATCTTCAAGCTTTTGAACTTGAATGTCTTTTTGAATAATATTCTGTTCAACCTTCTTAGATTTATCACCAAGTAAAACCTTTTTAATCCTTGCTTGGGTATCATAAACATGGAACTTATTTTCAAAAAAAACCTCTGATCTTGAATTTCTCTGCATAACCAATTCTATTGCCTCTGACTTTTTTAATCTTTCCAACTCCTTCTTCACCTATTTATTTTCTTTTAATGAAAATACCTGTTGTTTTGACATCTTCTGTACTACAAGACTCATAATCCTCTTGGAAACAGCAGAATTTATCACTCTAACCAATCTATTACCAAAGAAGCTAACTTTATAATTTCTTTCCAATACTTGATTGCCCCCTTTGAATGAAGTCTTCCTGTCACATGTTGCTCTTTGCAATCTAACATAGTACCCTCTCCTGTCACTGCTAAAACTCTTCTTTTAAGCATTGTTAACTTCTTTTCTGCTTTACAATATTATCTTAAAAAAGCACACTCAAATGCTTCTGTGAACCATACTTATTAGCATAATGTTCTTTCTCTTTATACAAATAACACACAATGTCTTTTCTTACATCTATTTTCCTTTCTACACCTAAACTCCTACCTGCTATTGCTGATGAAAACCTGTTAGACTATTTCAGAAATATATTCTGTAAAAAAACACCTTGTTCTGATTGATGTCTTGCAAAAAAAGGATTCAAACCACTGATACCCACAGCTGGAGCTGTTGGTATCAACACTTGTTAGTTGGATACCTATTGCCAGATCAGTAAAAATGATAGATAAGCTTGAATAAATACAGGTGCCACAGAATGATTCTGTTGTATACTTAGAAAAAACTCTTGCATATTGCTTACTTGTTCCTCAAACTTTTGATTCTTGTCATATGAAACTTTTGATTTCTTATTTTTAGAAAATATCTGAATTGCTAATCTGACTTTCTTTCTTTTTTCTTCAAAGATTTGTAACATAGAGTCAACCGAATCATTAAATATTATTTTTGCAACAACACCCCAATCATCCTTATTCGTCACTCTAACCACATAAGCTCTCTCTAGCACAACCTGTCTTGCTAAAAGTAAATAATTTATCTCATCCATACTCAAGGCTTTGTCCATCAACATTCCCACCTTACACTATTTGTTGAACTTCTACTGATTTCTAACCTTCAACAAATTTCACTTCCTCTATAACCCCATCTTATCAGTATCCTAATCTACTAAGCCCTTCTCTCTCTCCACAGAGACATGCCAAAACTTATACAGGCCTTGTGCACCAGTTTCCAAACTATTTGTTTCATGCTTTTCATTACTAGACCCAACTCCTGAGAAAAGACCACTATTACACAAACAGGAACCAGCCTCATCCATATTCGTATCTTCCAAATTTACAACCTTGTCTTTATCAAACAAACTGCCACATGACTCCTCCTTATCTTTGCACTCACTAACCAATATACTTACTAAATCCTGCTTCAAACTTATGTTCAAAACACCCATCCCTTGACACAAATCTTTAACATTTCAAGAGATAAACAGTCAAAATTTGCTTCGAAATTGACTTGGCCACATGATGGTTCACTATTATTATTCGACTATACCATAATATTCTCCTCAACAACTGTATCTTTACTCTTTTCTAAATTATTTATCATCTTTTTAATGAACAAATAATAAATTTACTGGTACTCGAATTAACCAGAACGAAAGTCAGGTTTGCAGAAAAAACAAAGTTACTAATTCTAATTCTCACAAGCTTAACTAATATACTACTTTCTAATTACCTCATAATACCCAAATTACCTCATACTAACTCAATTACCTCATACTTACTCAATTACCTCATTCTTACTACAACTAACCTCATAGATCAAACTCTAATCAATGATCTAATTACTAAATACTCAAATTACCACATACTTTCGTTCAATTAATTGACACTCGATAATCGCTAATCGATCGAACATGTGATCGTAATTGGGCCTATCACATGTTCGATCGTCGTATGTGATTCGAGACAAAAGCTGCCTTGATACTCACATATCGAGCAGCTATTATTAAGAATCGAGGTTTTTTTAAATAAATCACAGCATATGACGTTTTAAATTTCTTATCTATAATTCTTTTGCTTCGGCAAATTACACTGAAAATAAACTAGACTTCGGATGTCAATTTTGGTTAAATTTGGTTATATATACGTTACATCTAAAGTAACGATTTATCTAAAGTAACGCCTGGCAAAATTAAGCCTTAAAATTAGACCTACATGCATGCATTAAGTTATAATTTTAGCCAGGGCGAAATCGTTACTTCAGATGCAACATATATACTAATTAAAAACACATTAGAAACTAATCTGGCTTATGCCGTAACAGCTTTTGCTGCATTAATATCAATTCTTTAGATTAAATAATTAATACAAGTGACTCTTAATTGCCTGGTCCAGTCAAAATCTTACATCGATATTTTCTTATATCGAAGGTTTTTTTATTATAAATTCTTAATTAGGATTTACAAAATCTTATATCAAAAGTTTCTTTTATCAAGAGTCACTTGTATTTGTAAATACAGTCAACTCTTCCAAATCAGAACCTGGATAATCCGAACCCTTAATAAACTCTAAAAACCGAACACAAAGCTTCAGAATATTTGTAAATTTTATTAAAAAGTTCGGATTAGCAACATAGTAACTCTTTGAAAACTGACCTTTTTGATATTTTTACTTATAATAACGGACCATTCGGAATAGAGAGAGTTGACTGTATACAGTATTTAATAATCGTAATGACTATTCTATAATTATTTGTCACTATCATATAATTTGTGCTTGTAAAAAAAAATTACATAATATTTAGGATTGATAAATGGTTGATAAATGACATTTTTTTCTTACAAATAATAATATTGTTTTCTAAGTAATTTGCAAATTTCATACAGTACATACTATTATGTTAAAATGTTAAATACCTAATAAAGCATTAAAGCAATGGACTACGTAGAGCAGACAAGATTCTCAATACAGAAATAGAATACAAAAATATCAACCTTGACAATATTATTCCAAACAAAATATGCATTGTTTTATTCAGAATTTTTTTCATTTTTCAAGTTTTTTAAATTATTAACCATTTGTTGATTGATTTAAAATTTGGTTCGATATTTTTCAGTCATTTCTTAATTGCTGAAAAAGTTTAGACAGCTTGAAAGCATTTACCTGTATAATATATTATACATTATTTAAAATTATTTAAATAACACTCATATGTACATACATCATCTAAGCAATATCTCATCGTCTATCTACTGGTATTCATTTTACCATTTTCTTTCTCTTATCGGTTTGGCTTATTTTCATCCGTTGTAAGCACTTATCAAGATGACCAAAACTTTTCAGATTTCTCAATTTTTGTAATAGTTGAGTGTTTTGCTCGATATTGTATTAAAAAAAACCAGATTGTATTGATTAAAATTGATTATTAATTAATACGTTAAGCTACATTTTAAATTTAAACTTAGTTTCATAACTTTTTTTTTTAGGGGTATACTAGGTTCGTGTTAGCAAATGAGTGGTGCTTAGATTAAATTTTTTATTTTATTTTATTCACAAATAGTTTTACCTTTTTTAATATTAAAATTTTAATACAGATATAGGATAACTTTCTCGTGATTGATCGTTATTATTGGCTAATTGTGAAGCATGATAATCAACCAATTAAATTACATAATATTCGTAAACTTAATTATTCTCTATCGCTTCTCACTTTAAGAAAAAAAAATAGGTCAATATATGTATTTTTTAAATGTCTATCACACCTTTTATACCGAACTAATATAGTATTTGATTTATTATACCTAAAGCTCGTTATGATAAGATTCATTAATCTCTATATATATCACATATATATTCTTAATGTTAAAAAAAAAACGTTTGTACTGTTAGTTTTCTTCAAGATCACTTTCAACCTATCCGGATCCAATAAAATCTCAGGATCTCGTGTAACAAAACAAACGCGACAAACATAAGAAATTGTAAAAAAAAAAAAAGAAGAACGTAAATAACACAAAAATTTATTATGATAACTAACTTCCGATTTCTAAGTAAAAGTTTTCAGAATGAAATTTTTACTTATAGGATACAATTTTTAATGTTAAATATATAGGGAATTTTTTTGAGATATTATGATCCATATTTTTTTGACTGGTAGTTCGGGGATTTTCTTGACATAAGAATACCTATAAAAGGCACCTTAGAATAATTAATCCTGCATGTGATCGATCGAAAGTTCAAGATCAGTCTAATCGAGCAATTGATTTTTTTTTAGGTGATTTTATCTATATAAGTTATACAATACCAACAGAAAATTCACCAGTTACTATATTCTTTGATTATCCGGGTATAATATAGGTTTTTAATTGGTGGAGTGTAACGTACAGTACCTGGGTTGTCTGTATAGTGTCACAAGTGCAAAACGATCGTCGTAATGGCCCTAAACCGAATCGGTAATGCGAACGACGATCCAGCCCCAAACGTGAAGAATCACCACCAAACCAAATAAGGGAAAGGTCAATTGAGGCTAACCCATTCGTTCGAGGTGGAGATTCGACGATAGAAGAATGGCACAAGTCTTTTGTTCTTCACCCTTGAAAAATGCTAAAGGCACGAATGTCGTGGGGGGGAATCAAAAAAGGGAAAACCAGCTTAGAATTGGTTCATGCGATAGTAAATTGTTTTAGAAAAGCTGTTATTTTCTCTTTCTTGTAATCTATCTTATAAATACGGTTGAGTTTTCTCTTGTAAAAGGTACCACTCGAGCCTTACACAATTAATTAATAAAATCTCTTCACTCGAGAATCGAATCCACCTCACCTTAACTTTCGAGTAATGTTACGCGACTTCGACGAATTTCAAGGGACAATTCATTGCATTATCCTCGTTTGTTGGTATGTGTGTTTTAATCCACTTAACCTCTGACAATATACGGTAGTTTAAACAGTTATGATTTTTTTTGAATCAAGCTATAATAACAAAAGTTAATATTTTGGTTTCATTGCTCTATTGGAAATTTTAAATATCACTCATTTAGTAATTAATAATTTAAAAATTGAACAAAGATTTTTTTTTTTTGATATGTGATCTCAATTCCACGCCAATAAAAAAAAAAAAACTTTCCTGAATATAGTTTTAATAATAAAGAAAAAAACTCTTTAAATATTACTTAATAATAAAAAAGAAAATTCTTTAAATATTAAATTTTCGTTTTTATAATACACTTTATTAATAAAGAAAATTATCAGTTCGGTAATTTATTATAAAGGTATGTGTATATATTATAATAGTGTATTGGATATTGACTACTATATAATCCACTGAGATGTACTAAAATTACCCAATTCAGATCTATTTAACAAGTATCTTCGTTCAATATTTCTATTACACCATCCTTGAATTTTATGATATTATTCGTTGGCTTCATCTACGATGGAAATCATAGATAAGTCTATTAAGGACTTATGCCTAGAATTAAGGTGGGAATTAAGACGACTTGTAGATCTAAAAAAGTAATCAAAATATAATACATTTTCTTTTAGACTCTTTGATATCATGATATAAAAATTGTTACCTTACGACCTAGACAAAAAGATAAAGGTGAAGAAAAATAGTCGTCTATGTAACTATTTCATACCGTGTTTGATCATTCGAATAAGTACTATAATAAAAAACAGTTGAGCCCACCACGAGATAAGAGAATGTTATATTATATGCTTATGAAAGGTATATCTACGTTATCCGATTAGATTACATCATAATTCCCAAGAATGATTTGTATACAAAGTAATTCTTGAACATTTTATTAAATAAATAATAATGACAATAAATAAAAAGAATTAGAAAAATTAAAGTATAGGAGTCAAAAGAAATAATGAATAAAGATTCAGAAACCAAAATTTGAATAAAGGCCAATAAAAAAAGTTCTTATTGAATGAAATCAGAAACCACAGACTTTTTTTTTTTTTTTTTTTTTTTTTTAAAAAAAAAAAAAGAAAATAAAGATACATTTACTTTGAAGAGAAACAATCATATTATTATACAATCGAATAGATTCGAATGATCATAATTGCTATAATTCAGTATCCACTTTCCCAAATATTAAACTATGTAGTGTAATTTTCCTATTAATATCGACTAGTAGATCACAAAAAATAGCTTTATTTTAATCATCAATAGCAAATCGGTTATCTTCTAGGCCGATTCCTTCATAATGCTTTCTTTGGACTAATAAAAAAAAAAAAGAAAAAAGTAAGGTGAATAATTTAGTCTATAATAGATCAATACGATAAAAAGCAACAATAGTTTTTTGTAACACTAACAATGTTGTTTCAATCCAGCGCCTGTGAATAGACAATAATAATAATAATAATGATAAGTAAAACAAAAAACTTAAATAAAAATAAAAGAAATTATAAAACGAATTTTGCATACCAAAGTTATTAAATGCCGAATATGAAACAAACAGTGTCGTTATGATCAAGGTGATACCAAGGATATCCTAGTTAAAGGAAAAAAAAAAAAGATTTAGAAATCTTTATAATAATAATTATAATAATAATAAAAAAATAATATTTAATGTAAATTACCAAGAATGTCAACAAACTTTCATCACGTTGAATGATAAATGTTGCCAATATGTATAGGAAATTAGCTATTGTGGCCAAGGAAAAAAGTGCAAAAATGATCATCGCAGTCTTATTTTCAGTTCGCACCTATTTTTTTTTTTAAAAAAAAAACCAGTAAGAATTTTGGATGTGTAAGTTAAAGTTTGGAATCGGTTTTATTTTTCATATGTTAAAACCAATTAAAACCAGTTAAAACCGATTAAACCCGGATTTAACATATGAAAAATAAAACCGGTTCCAAACTCCAGTGTAAAGATAAAAAAAAAAAAAAAAGAAAGAAAAACATACACCCCACAATCCCAATCCTAACGTTGGTATAACAATAACGATAAAAACGCTTTGAATGATTATTGTATGCGTATTGTGAGCAGCATCGGCGAATAAGAATACCAAATTAAGAATTTGGAAACCCATCAAGAGAAATATATCCACTTTCATTAACAAAATGAATACTAATTATTAAAAGTTAGATGGAAATCATGAGTTCAAAGTTGGTTTGTATGAATGATAAATCCCAAAATTCGGAATAGTAGTTGGTAATTTTAAACGTACTAAGATATGTCCTGTACCTAGCTAAATTACAAATAAATTAATGAAATTAAAGTTAAAATAGTAAAAATAATCAAGAAATAAAATATAATTAAAAAATATGACTTACATTGAGTATGAATATCAGCACCAATCTTTTTATAAATATTCCAACCAAATTCACCATATAATTTATAACCAAGGAATATTGCAGCAGCAACGAACAAAATCAAGATAACAAGTTGAACATATTCAGCATATAGTACAGTCATTGGCAATTTAGTAAAAGCCAAATCAGTAGAATTAAGGTCAGGGAAATCAAGTTCAATTTGAAGGTTGATACGATTTATCCATTTAAAACTCTGATAGGTTTGTATACCTGCAAACAATAGTAAGCAAATATTTATAAGACCTATCGATATTATCTCTATAGTATTCTATAACGAAAGGTAAAATAAAAATTAGTCATTATAAGGGATGATAATCTAGAAATAAACACAATAATTAAACAATAGAATGACGGAATCTTACTTGAAAATATATCTAAAACAAGGAAATAAAATAATAAATCAAGTTTTTTTCAAATTTTTTTTTTTTAAAAAAAAATATAATAAAAATAGAGAAATTAGATTACCGCAGAGAAGCATAAAACAGTAAGGAAAGCTTCAAACACCATGAACCAAATGTTTCCATCTATAATCGACACGTATTGATTTCCATAATTTGAATAAGTATAATTCATGTAAGCAAACTGGGGCTGGGGAGGAGGAGTTGGATAAGTTTCTTTATATTTATTGCTAAGACTGCTTAAAGCTTTAGCACCATCTTCGTTTATCCGTAGAATGATAGCTTCTATTATAATGGCTACTATCATTTGGACCAGAGCAGAACTTATATAAAGAATGGTCCATCGAGATTCCATTAATCGAGTCCACTATATGATTTTTGGGTTTATGTAATTGTTATATATACACCTTTCATATAGTATAAAGAGAAACAAGAATTCCGACATACCAGTTTTTTGCTTATCTTTACTACTGTCGCACTCATGTTAAAAAAGTATTTATTTTTTAAAAGGAATGAAAACCTCGCAGAGGCTTTATGCTAATAATAATAATAAAAAAAAAAAAGGGAAAAAAAAAGAAGAAAAAAAAAAAACCAATGTAGAGAAGTTATGGTACTTGCAACTTGTTCCAGGCAAAAATGAGGCAGAAAGAAACAAGTCAAACAAGTCACAGAAGCAAGAGATACAATTTCTTGGCAATAAAAATAAAAATAAAATAAAATAAAATAAACAATAATATTTATATAATAGAAGAAAGAAGTACCGTTGCAATTATCAAACGGTTAGTGGTTTAATAGTTACAGAAATATATTGACCAAACGAGAGGATCATTTAAAATATTTAATAAATTGTTTGATTTCCAAATATGGCTAGTCAAAAGTATTAATAGTACCGAAATACATGTGGGACAAGTGTTACAATGTGGTATGCGTACATACGTACTAAACTACTAAATGCTACTACTGTACTAAATGTAAAGATTACCACAATAATCAAGTAATTGTTTGTAAAGAAAAGAAAAATGAACAAAGATTGTTAAAAATCATAAGGTAAAAGTTTTTTTAACTCATTTCTTTGTGTTTTATGAGAATAAGCAGCTTTCCCCAGACGAACCAAACGTGCTCGTGAAACCCCTGTATTAAGATGTGCTTTGCCCGCTCTAGCACGTTTGAATTTTCCACGACCGGTAACTCTCCACCTATTTCAGAACGATATTAGTAAAATTTATAAAATTTACCACTGTAAATATTATTTATTACCATAGATGACCCAATTTACCTTTTTTTGGTACCGGAATGAGTTTTCATCTTGTATTTGTATACAGATTTCAGACGAACAGAATTATTAAAAGCATTTGATGAAATCTTTTCGAAATATGGTAATATTGATGGTCGAACAAGTGATTGATGGACCAAATTAGGTTTTTCATTTGAACCATTGAAAATCCCGGGTAAGGATCTAATACTATAGTTGTTAGACGAAACATTTTCTATGTAGTGACGAAAGACGGGACCTAAAAGTGGTGAAGAACGAAAGACGGGACTTAAAAGTGGTGAAGAACGAAAGACGAAACGCTGACTAAAGCCCAAATCCCTCTGGCGAAAGACGAAACTTAAAATCGGAAATGAGGAAGGGCAAAACCTCGTGAAACCTTCATGAAAGTTTAAACCAGACAAAATTTTGAAAAGAACAAAATGGAAGAACTGAGCTATAATTAGTAAGCTATTTCCATAAATATCAAAAGGAGTTGAGTCCTAACCTTTCATAGATTTCTAATTTCTTCACTATTTATTATTGTTATAGTTTTATCACTTTTTATTTAGATGCTTAATTTTCAAGACAAAAAAAGACCGACTTCAAAGTATTAAACTTTCACATATCAAATATCAGATATTCAAAATAAGGTAAAGATTACGAACATGCATTTGCTACCTCCTGATCGACCAATCAGGGCTCAGGATCAGGTGTAACAGAAACTTCCCTTTTCGTCTTAACAAAAAAAATAGATTTTGGGTTAGGAAACCTTTTAATTATAGTCTTGCCCAACTGCTGTTTATTTTTAAAAAAATGACGTCTTTATTTAATTAGAGAGTGGCAATGCAATGAATAATAATTTAACCAATATCAGTAATTTGTATCAAATTTATTAAATAATTCTTGAATGTAAATAATTCTTGAATGAGTAATTTGAATAAACGAAAAAAAAAACAATTATTTCCTTTTCATATATCTTGAAACTTTGTGAATCTACTCTATACTTAGATTAAAATTTAAGCGACGATTACGTACGTATATACCTAATTTTGGCTAGGCACGACCCCGTTTATGCAAATTTAGTGATATCTTTTTTTGTCTGAACAAAGTAGATGGTCTTTAGGGAGAAATGATTAACTCGGTTTATTGTGATGGTAAGCTATTATAGTTTGTATAGACGATTCTGTTGTTTATTGTGATGGTAAGCTATTATAGTTTATATACGTAGACGATTCTGTTCTTATACACCTTTAAGGAATTTTTACGTATTATAAATAAGACCATGTTAGTTTATCAGGAAGACAAGACCCATTTTGTTACATAAAAAGTTTCATACTATGTATATGCAAACAACCTAAATAACCAATAGAAGACAGGCTGGCTTCCTAGTGGGATTTTATAATAATAGAAGGTCCGGTTATGATACTGTTAATTTGACTTCGAGTGAACTTTCAATGCCTACAATGAATCAAGTGTAATCAATTGTAAATCAATTGTTGTGAAGGATATATTTATACAAGTCATATATATAGGTCACGTTTTCATGCATTTACCCAGATATTGGCCTCAAGAGGTTTACAAGATTTGTTCTTGTTTTTAAAATAAATAATCAGAACAATCAGCATTAATTCTAATGTTAATCGTAATGTAACGGTAAATTACACTTATCTATTACCGTTTAGCACTGCCTATCGCTATGCCCATGATTAAGAACCGGGTACCGTACTATCAGCCTAATTCCTGATATTCCATATCGATATTAGTTTGCAATTTTTTCATCCAAATATATAGTGATGGATCGGTCTTCGTAAAGACTGATGCCGGGCGGTAACGACCGAGGGCCGAATGATTTCGACCCCGGACCATAACAGTCGCAAATAATAGTCCTATAATGATAATCATTACGAAATAACAGCACAGTTTCTTTCTCTGACATCTCTTCTATTTTTCCATCTTTTCTACTCTTGCCTATTCTATTTCTTCCACTTAAATCTTTTATCCTACTTCTTTTATTCCGTCTACCTCATCTTTAATGATTCATTTTATTCTTCTACATTGCCAGCAGATACCGTAAAATGTAGAAAATAAGCACAGCACTATTTACCATACTTTTTCAATCTCTTAAATTATTTCCGTCAATATGAGATTGAAAAAAGTAGGGTGGAGGTACATATAGCGGTAGTAACATTGAGAAAATAATTTGAACTCGTTAGTATAATGACAAGTGCAGAAAGAATACTTACTTTAATTGTAAGGGACTATTTGGTTTCAGAGCAAACATTCTCTGTAGCCGGTCTTATTAATTCATCCAAAATGACTAGATTAGATGATGAATCTGCAAGGGCAATTCAATTAGTTTCAAAAAGAAATTTGCAATTTGGATAATTACGTAGAAAATTACTATAGTCATTTCATTGTATTAAATTAGCTTCACAAAAAGAAAAAAAAAATTTTTTTACAATGAACATTTACATCATACATAATTATAATGATAAACATTTTGACTACTAATAATTCCATAGATAAACATTTGGCTACTACGTAATAATTCCATAAGATTTCGTACAAAATTCTTATCGTAGGAATGGTTTTAGGAATGAATGGACCAATTACAGTTGCTTTCATAATTCCTGAAACAAATGCGATTAAAGTTTTTGATTTTAGAATAATTGATTCAAATTGATATATAATGATTTAAAATCCAGTGATTAATCTAACATCTCTAGTTAAAGCAACTTTTCTGGAAAATAATTATCAGTTTGAAAAACCAGATTTTCTTTAAGTCGGATTCTAAAGCATTTTCAAAAATATAATGTATTGAAAAAACTTTAGTCACTTTTAGGAAATCTGCATTCACTAAACCTGAATTAAATATATTTTTAATGAAAAATGAATTACAATTATAGACGGAATTTTGGTTAGAGCGTAAAATTAATCTTATGACAATTTGGATCAACTTGGATTTACAAAAGTTTGCTACGTAGCATAAGTAACCAATAAATTTGGGGAATTAGGTGTAACACGAGGTCACATGTGTTACCTAACCCAACCCACCAGTGATTCGTAGGTAGGACACACGTTGTGATCAATTAAAATAGAATTATTTATGTTGAACTCAACTCTATAGTCTATGTGATAGATATAATCCCTCACCAGTTTTAATATATGTGTAACATTAACGGTTCCTCTTGTTAATCATATGATAAAATCAACCTTCAAAAATTCGCGATTAGGTGATATTGTGTCGATATAACCAGAGCAACATCACGAATATTTATTGCATTCTACGACCTTCGGTAATACTACACAAAATACATAAATTTATATCAAACAATTACGTAAATATATGGATTGTGTATAAAAGTCTACTTTATATCCAACCCCTTTTTACCATTTCTTGCTAAAGTTTATTGGTTGATAAGAGCAGTATTCACATAAATTTGAGTGCAAACCAAATACGTACATCAAACATGTTCAAAAAACATGTTATAAGGAGAAACGAAAGTATTAATTCATCCGTTAAATTTACTCTCGTTCATAGAATGTTAAGCTACCCGAGCTTTTAAAAGTAGTGTAAAACGTATAAAAATATTATTTATCAATTGTGTAACTATATCGGAATAATCTACAAATTGAATGGTCGCCCCTTGTTGGTTTGACAGTATTAACAATCTGTAGAATAGGTATTACACATGATACAACAATAGTTTCTATGTGTCGATCATGCTGAAATTAATCGAATCGACTAGAACGAACCAGTCCATCACTACAGAGTACGTACTCGTGGGTATTACATAATCAATTTGGAAAATATAAGTTTTGAATAAGGTCCCAATACTATAGGCAGTGCTACATATCTGTCGAATAACTTGGATCAACCAATATTTATGAATATTTATTTATTTAACTGTTGTTGATAGTGATGTGGTAGAATCATTTTACGACATATCGATATGACTGGTTACGGGTATAAAAAAATCGTATGATTCATTGTATCGTACGATCCCATTGTGTTGTAACTTTAATTAGCTTCGTAATTTTAATTTATCGAGATCAGAGCCACTGAATTTTAGTACATAGCATCTAAATAGCACTAGTGATATCGTGATAACTACATAACCAAATCTGATCAACTAGTGCTGTGACTCTGCTTGAGATCCAAATGGTCTTACCCCAGAATCCTGACACCCGAAATTCAGACACCCAAAATCCAGACACCAAAATCCCGACACTACTTACATAAAATCAAAATCCCGACACTACTTACATAAAATCAAAATCCCGACACTACTTACATAAAATCAAAATCCCAACACTACCTACTTACATAAAATCAAAATCCCGACACTACATACATAGATCCCGACACCCAAAATCCCGGCAATGCCAAAATCTCGACATTACCAAGATCCCAACAATGTCAAAATTCCAACTAACGTTTTTACATTACTATGTTTTGGGGTTTGTCGCATAATAAAATGGATATTAATATAAATTATACGTTATTGCACGTTCGTAATCTGTACGTAACAAGTTAGGACATGCGTGTTCAGTTTTCTAAATAATAAAGTTTTGGCACGGATGTGTTAGTACCTTTGAAATATATGGTGTGGTATGAATTCTACGTACATACATATTTTATCTGTATTGCCTTATAAGCATAATTTATTTGCAATATGTATCGAAATAAATTATCCATATGTAGATCTTACAAGGTTTGTCGTTATTTTTTATATATATATTTTTCTATAACAATGAAAAAAAAATCCGAATACTCATACGTAAAGATTAAATTACTTTGAAAAATGGCATATCTATAGAGGTTGGAAGTACAGATGTAAGGTTTGCGACGAATGCAATCACCATTCACATCTGCAAAAAAGTAGCGAATAAGCGATGTGAATGTGTAAATAAAAGTTATTTTTATACATAATTCTTCATAATTTATCCACGTAACAAAGATATTTATCTGTTAGCAACATGTGTTGAAATAAATTCCGCATTTTTAAATAAGTAACATGGTCCCAATTTTTATGTTTCGATTATTGCGCTACAAGTCACATGATATTGTGACCTAAGGTCACACTATTTTTTATATTCATGTATGTACAACCAAAAATGCTTAAACCTTTTTCGGGTTAAAATGAAGAGGCTATCTATACTTGACTCTAATTTTATTAGTAATATATGCTTTTTAATTAAGAGATTTGTAAACAGACCAAATTCGAATAAATTTGGATGAACAAATAAAAAGAAATACTATTTTTATATATTATTTTTTGCTTGTAATGCGAAGTATGCACGTGTTAATCCTCTTCTCTTTGAAACGTGTTAATCCTCTTCTCTCTGAAACGTGTTAATTCTCTTCTTTTCAAAATACATCAATTTCTTCTCACTTTAAACAAATATTATAAACATTATATGCTTTTAATACCGAAGGTGCTTTTGACTGTAATGGAAGCGTTTCTGAAGTATAAAGCACCTCTAAGCTTTCTTTCTGACGGTATAAAAACCAGTAAAAATCATATATGGTAATTATGCCATACTGAAGCTGATTTTTTACCATGTAGCCATATATTTGATCGTTGTGTAAAATTCTGATAATGTTCGTTCGTTTGTCTTCTTCAAAATATATCTTCTCTTAACTTCTACTACCATAATCAAGTCATCATTATGATAGCATGTAAAGTCAGGCTCACTGACATAAGGTTTCCGGCTTGAAAAATCATAATTCATTCCCATTAGTTCATTTAAGATTGAATAAATATTGGTGTCCACGGCTTCACAAACATTTGCTTCACTAAATAACAAATGATTGTGCATTGTGATTCACAAGCAAACGGTGAATATTTGAGGATCGGTGGTATACAAGCAAGCGCGTTTTCTTGACAGAGAACTTAAAAATACTGTATGTAAATAATAAAGGACAAAAAAACCATATACAATATGTATAATTTTTTCTTACGTGGTAATAGATACTGCATATTGGAACTAGCTTCAAAGGTGGTTACATTATTAATTGGTACTTTTATTCTTTTCGAAGAAATGTCTATAATATTTGCGTCATAGTTTTTACGTTTTTCTTCTGCTACAGGTACAGGTATCAGGTTGGTCGCGTCACCCAAAATACGCTTATTCCTTGGTTCTTTCCATCCGAAAACTGCTTCTTTGATATAATACTACAAAAAGCAACAAATGAGAAAAACATTTCTCAGAAGTAAAATAAAATATTTGGATGGAAGATGTATGAACCTAGGCTCATTTTGTTATGCCATTAAAGGAAGACGTAACTGATCCCTCCCCCAGAATCAGTAGACCTTTTAACAAAATAAACTTGTGTACGGAGCACTCCTGTACGAATACAGTATGTGACGACACGCCGGTAATCATGCAATCCTCACATCCCAACTAGGGGCATAGTTATAACTTACTATAGTATGGCAAACTATACTTACTTTTTTTCTCTTTTAAAAATTTTTTTGCACCCTCTTGAACTTCTTGTAAAGCCTCTGAGTCACTGCTGATGACATTTACAATGTTGTTGAAAAAATTTACGGGCATTAACTTTTTTTGTGGTAGCATAATCTTCTTGGACCCACGAGCAAAAGTGGTTGAGTGACCATTCCGAATAAAAAACAAGTTCGAAATATCATATTTTCTCTTTTACTGCTTCGGACACGTTTAATAAGATTATTTAGAAAACAATGAACCAAAATTTAAAAACAGAGATATATTTTATACGCGAATTGAGCGATACATATAACTAAATTATTCTGCAGTGTAACCATTAAAGGAGAATCACGTAATTAATTCGTCAATTAGTTTTCAAAAAAATTAATCGGCACAATGTAAACAGGGGGAACCGTCGATGTTACACTACTGATTCTTCACCTGGTGTGCAACATATAAAAAAACCATTTTACAATACCAGATAATTCCGCTAGTACATGTTATGATTATAATCCCACACCATTTTATTATAATAAAAATGGTGTGGGATTATAATCATAACATGTACTAGCGGAATGATCTGGTATTGTAAAATGATTTTTTTATATGTTGCACACCAGGTGAAGAATCAGTAGTGTAACATCGACGGTTCCTCCTGTTCACAATGTATATATGTATAATGCCGAATTATCATACCCCCATAATACTAACTAATAATACATTATCGATAGAATTATCTCTGCATGTCTCAACTTCATAGCTTCGCTTATGAAAATATACAGTATATTTATATTATAAAATTTCTGACCACTTTAAAACAACTTTTAATTAAACGGAACCTTCGGCATTTTACAATAGAATTTTGTGCTCTGATGGTACGTATAAGTAAATTGTAAACAACCCTTTCGCTTTGATAATCAATTATTTCCAAATATTTACTCAATAATCTTTTTATATATTAACATATGTATTATTGTCATTTAGGTCTTAAAATGGAATCAGATAGAGAATGGAAATCTTTAATTAAGGAGGATTTAGAATGCTATTTAAAGTCTGATAATTATATGACCCCTGAAATAAAGAACAACATTGGACGGTGTTAATAATATGGAAAAAGTATTGCCAAAGATGAAAATGAAGCGTATAAATGGTATTTGAAAGCTACCTTGGAAGGCAATTCGCGTGGACAAAAAAGGCCAAAGATGAAAAGAAAGCATTTGTGTGGTACCTGAAATCAGCAAAAGGCGGTAATTCCAGTGGACAAAATAACCTTGGGTGTTGCTATAAAATTAGAATAAGTGTTGATAAAAATGAAAGGAAAGCATTCAAATGGTATTTAAAATCTGCAAATTGCGGCAATAATAGTGGACAATATAACCTTGGCATATGTTATAGGAATGGTACTGGAACACCTCCAAATGAAAAAAAAAAGCTATTATGTGGCTACAAAAGGCAAGAGAAAATTATGATAAATGTCAAGATGGAAGTGAAATTAGATGGTCTTCTGGAAGAGATAATGATTAAAAATTCGTTACCATGGATTCTATTTAGTGAGCTGGAAAATATAAAAACTATTATTACAGATCTGGTTACAACTTTGCAATCTGCTGAATGGACATATTCGCATAAATCGGATGTAAGAACAAGGAAAGTTAGGTTAGACCTACTTACTGGATCAAGCAAGGTTGATAGGCATGAAATACTTTTAAATGAGGTAAAGATTATGTAACGTCGAGATTTTATGCTGCGATAATACTAATAACGATATACTTTAAAGTTAAGTGCATACTGCATTATTGGGCACAAGAGGCCTACATTTCTTCAATGTTATGGAATAAAACTACGGGCCATTATATTTTAGTTATACAAGACGTACTAGAGAATTTAAAGCGCAATCTTTACTCTATTGCAGGGGAATGGAATGAAAAATTAAATTTATTATTATATATAGCTCGTGACCTTCAACTAATTCATTCTTTCGACATTATTAATTGCGGTTTGAATAATAAAAGGATATTACAAAATAATCTAACTAGCGCATATATAGCACTCTCCCCATTGCTTTTATCTGTCGACAAAGCATTAGCAACAAGACCTAAATTGATTGCACGCATACTTTATGATGCACTTTAAGTTCTAAGTAAAAATCTATTCACTAAAGCGTCAGATATTTATTCGTTTGGGATAATTATGCAGGAGATTTCTTCGGAAAAGACTATATATAATTACTATCAAGAACGTTATGGTCATGATTTTGATAATCTGCAATTTTATTTTAATGTTTTTGATGGAGTGCGACCAAATATAATTAAAAACACAATACAATCGTATTCGGACCTCATGAAACGATGACCCAAGAAAAAGATCATCAACTTCAAAAATTTGTAAGATTCTCACTAATTGGAAAAATTGCATGGCAAAGTTGAACTAATTAACTATAATGAATCTGATGAAGATGAACCCAAAATAAGAGACTATAAAATTGCAACATATGATAGTGAGTCAGATGATATATTAGATTAGGAAATTTCATCTTCCAATACTGATGTAAATTTACTCTCGGTTACAAAATCATATTTATCAACTCTAAATATATCAGAAGAGTGGCTTTAAAAAGCTATTTCTGATGGACGTATTAATTATCTTGACTATAATAAATTTACAAATCCTATTTTGATTGGCATTTACAGTTGTTCTTAAATGTTTTAAAGTTAACACAAACATAGATGAAAAAATCATCCTATTACCAGTTAAAAAATTATCATTATTCATATAATTAGTCTAAACTATTATGAAAAGCTTCCTGGTTGGAAGTCAAGATTGAATTTTTTTGCTAAAAATTTCTCAGCTGCAGGATAGACAGTGTCATTGAAATATTTGATAATTTGTAAATAAGTAGATTTTTGATTTTTGACAACATCAAAGTAGGTAATGATTTGGGCAAGGAATTTAGTATTAATAATGTTTTTTGTTAATAAGTTAATTGCCTCCTTCTTGGAAAAAGACTGTATGTTATAGTTTTTTGTTGCAGTTTGGTAGTATAGTGAAAGGTAGCAGTAAAAGTAGTAATTACAATGTTTAGGATTGGTTTTAATTTTGTTTTGTTTACAAACAAAGTCTTCAGTTTGATTAGTCAACTTGTCCAGAGTTTTGGTAGGAATAAGTTGGTTGAATAAGACAGCATGTTCTTTGTTTTTGTGAAATAGTATAGGGTTAAAAGTAGAATGAATCTATGTTTCATCTTCTTTAGATGGGAATAATAAGTAAGATTTGCTTAGTATATCATTAAAGAGTTTAGTGCTATCATAGAATTTTTTGTTATTGAGATATTAATATGATTTGTTAATACAAATAAGACAATAAAAATTTACAACACGAGATGTTTCCTCACATTATTCATGAAATGAGTTAGGTTTTTGGAATATGTAGGATTCAGAAAGGTGCTTGAAGAGTTGAAGAATAAAGTATTGATGGAATTGAATTCAGAGAGAAGTTTTAACTTTTTTTTTATCAATAATAAAAAAAAATTGTTGACTGTAAAAAGGATAGTATGTTTCAAACCAAGAATTAAAATGATCAAGAGAGTTTTTTTAAAAAAGAAATGCAGAATCTTTCAAAAAATAGTGTTTTTAGAACATTAAAAAAGTGTTTGATGTTAAATCTAATATCTGATTGAATGATAAGGTATTTTTGGTTGAGGTTGGTAGTTTGAGTGAAAAATTCAATTTTGAATCTTTTAGGTCTAAGCTTTAAATCTTTAGCAAATTTTTGGTAATCGATTAATTGATAATTATTAGATAAAAAAAGATGAAGTTGTGTAAGATTAAAACAAAATTGAAGATGATTATGAGCAGTTATAGAGAAATGATAACTGATAAGCTAAAGATTTCAAAATAATTGAGTTTTGTAAAAAGGATAGTTGTGAATTTAAGCAATAAGTTTTTAAGAATAGATTCAAGTAAGTTGAATAGAATATAGTACTTTTGTCAATATTGGGGTTGTTACTGTAAATAAGATCAGTTAAGAATTCTGGTCGTTGTCCAGTCATGATATGAATAATATAATAGAATAAGGCCTTGAATGCAGGTTGAATGGAGGTAGCTGGTTTAATTTTTTTATCAGGATAAAAATTATAAAAAAATTTTTTGAGAAAAATAAAGAGTTGAAGAGAGAATATGGTCTGTAGTTTTTTGTTAGATTGTATTTCTTTAATAATTAGAAAATTTGTAAACCAGTCATATATAGGATTAAATTTTGGTTTAATCACACTAGAATAAGTTTAAAGAGAAGATTTGTTTAAGATACTATTAAGTTGATTAGTATTACTAGAGTTGTTAAGATTTAAGTTGGAGTTATTAGAGATGTTAATAATAGAAGATTGGTTAGAAATAGAATTAGTATGAGTAGTTGTAGCAAAGAAGAAGTCAATAAGATCAGAAATAGTAGAGGAAGTTTGGTTAGAAAAATTATATTGGAATTAACAGTTTAGTTAGATTCCATTAAGATGTTTTAAAAAGTTTAGGTAAGATTTTTCTTGATTTGAGATGAACTAGCTTCATGCTGAAATAAGACAATTATACAGATAAGGTAATAGATTTCATTGTTTTTAGTAATATATTTTTTGATAGGATAATGATACTCATTTCTCTTGATACAACTAATTCAAACAGAGTATTTGAAATAGGTATAGTAGTGTACATTAGATGTAGAAGATAGGAGAACTTTGTTAATAGAAGAAGAGATATTAGATATAAGATCTTAACTTGTTTTATTGAGTTTTTTGGAGTTGCTATTGATATGAGCAGTAATAAAATCAGTAACTTGAATGTAATTGGTATTGGTAGTTGAGATAAATTTGGTATAATATTTGTTACAAAGACAAGTAATCACAGAGGTTAGAGGAAAAAGCTTTAAAAAAATGTATAATCTTATATGATCTAAAATTTTTTGTTAAACAAGAAGTTGGTTGGATTTTAGGAGGAATTGGATGGGTCTTGTTGTCTTGTTCTTCTTTATAAAAAGTGATTCCAAAACTGTCAGAGAAGTTTTAATAGAAGTAATCAAGGTCTGCAGTATCAGGCTCTTGATGAGTTAATATAGACATTTTGCAA